GGGCCTGATGAGGGCCATGACAGGGGTTATTGATGGGTCCCTGATTTAGAGATATCAGAGTTTTCAGCCTGGACACTCACAGTCTGCTTCCGATCGCTTGGCCTTTCCATCCCTGCCTATCTATAGTACATTTCTGCTCATTCCTTTCGTTTTATTGTGTAACGCATCCTACAGGTTACCAGCTGTCTACATTTAAGACATCTCAGGAGCGCCACCCACATCCACAGGCCACAAGTTTCCCACTCTCTGTACTGGACACATTTTCAGTTTCGCATATTGCATTTGTTTTCCTACCATTATCGGCAGATTGACCAGTCTCAGATGTAGAAGATGATCATGACACCTCCCCTGTGGTGATCTGCATCGATTAGGGCTCCTTGGTAGCAAGGAACAGACACCAGCTGTCACGGGCTGAATTGGGCTCCCACCCAATTCATCTGTTGAAGTCCTGACCCCCAGTAATCAGAACGTGACTTGATTTAGAGATAAGATCTTTCAAAAGGTGATTAAGGTACAAGGAGGCCCATAGGGTGGGCCCTGATGCAGTAAGACTGGTGTCTTAGGACACAGACATGCACAGCGGGACGCCCATGGGAGGATGTGGGGAGAAGGCTGCACACACGGACGGGCGGAACCAGCCCTGCCAACGCGTGGATGTTGGACATCCAGCCTCTGGAGCTGGGAGACGATAAATGTCTGTTGCGGAAGCCATACAAGGTGTGGTCCTTTGCTGCCGGGGATGGTGGCCACTGACTCACACACCCACTCACATTGAAGGAGAAGGCGGGGGAGCGGTTAGTATCCGGAGCCCCAGCCCCACCGGCCTCAGGGGCAGCACGTGCTCCCACACTGCCCTGGGCCCTCTCCATCGTCCTCCCCACCGCTCCACCCCTGGAAGCTCCTCTGTCACATTCTGAGATTCCGAGTCTAACGAAGATACAACTCTCTCCCCCGCCGGCTGTCTACCTAGGAGATCCCCAACTCCCCCCGAAACGTGGAGCTCCCCCCACGAGAGAGGTCTGAACTTTTGTCTGAAGTCCTTGAAGGACATGGGAAGTTCTAGAAGGTCTCCTGAGTTGCCGCTTTCCAGGCTGGTAGAAGATGGGCAGGATGGCACAGACGGCTTTGCCAGGTGTTAAATGGGTCAGGCTGGCATTTCAGCTTCATGCCTAGTAAAACCAAGCCAACTTTAAACAGACACATCACTCCATTGCATTGCTATGAGGTGGAAAGCCTGTTTCTAAAAGCAAAATAGGAAATATATAAAACTTTTCACTGCCAAGCAATGTATTCAAAGACTGCAATTATCAGGATGGCCTCCTCTCTTCTGAGGGAAATCCAATGGTGCAAGTTGCAGAGGGCTTGCCCCCAAATGGCCACCTTCAGCCCAGCTTCCCCGGGCCCTTTAACAGCCAAGTGTGTGTGTGTGCATGTGCGTGTGCGTGTGTGTGTGTGCACGCATGTGCATGCGCATATGCACATGCATGAGAGACACGTCCTTCCTTGTGCCTTATCGGCAGAACTGTTCCCAGGAAAGGACTTTATTGTTATAGCTGCCTGTTCCCACCCCTCTCCCAAGGTGCCTCAAGGACTCAGGGGCCTCAGGCAGCTGCCAACTGGCCACCCGGGACTCTCGCTGCTGGGAGAGGGGGCCTGGAAGGGGGCTGGGAGGGGGCCAGGAGGGGGCCAGGACAGTGGTCTGGAGGGTGGCCTAGAGGGCCCAGGAGGGGCCTGGGAGGGGGCAGGGAAGGGGGTAGGGAAGGGGCCAGGAGGGGCCAGGAGGGCGCCAGGAGGGGCCTGGAAGGGGGCCGGGAGGGACCCAGAGGGGGCCTGGAGGGTGGTAGTCTGGAAGGGGTCAAAAGGGTGGCCTGGGGGGTAGATGAGAGGGGGCCGGGAGGGGCCTGGAAGGGGGCCGGGAGGAGCCCAGAGGGGGCCTGCAGGGTGGTGGTCTAGAGGATGCCAGGAGGGGGCCTGGAGGGGGCCGGGAGGAGCTCAGACGGGGCCTGGAGGGTGGTGGTCTGGAGGGTGCCAGGAGGGGGCTTGGAGGGGGCCTGGAAGGGGCCGGAAGGGGCCAGGAGTGGCCAGGAGGGGCCCAGGAGGGCCTGGAAAGGGGCCGGGAGGAGCCCAGAGGGGGCCTGGAGGGGGGTGGTCTAGAGGATGCCAGGAGGGTGCCTGGAGGGGGCCGGGAGGAGCTCAGAGGGGGCCTGGAGGGTGGTGGTCTGGAGGGTGCCAGGAGGGGGCTTGGAGGGGGCCTGGAGGGGGCCGGGAGGGGGCCAGGAGGGGCCTGGAAGGGGGCCGGGAGGGGCCCAGAGGGGGCCTGGAGGGTGGTGGTCTGGAAGGGGCCCTAGGGGGGCCAGGAAGGTGTCCAGGGGTCCACCCCACAGGCTGTGATGACTTCTCTGAGTTCCCAGCCCTGAGGGCACAGCCCCTCACATTGTCGTTGGGCCTCTCTGTCCTGCCAGCACCATCCATTCTCTCTTTGAACCCAAGGAGGAAGTCGCACGTCCCCAGTGCCCCCTGCCCCCAGCTCCAGCCTCTGCACCTGCTCATGCAGCCTCAGCCTCCACCCCTTGGGCTCCACAGCCCACCCAGCAAAGCTGCAGGGAGCTGGGGCTCCCAAGGGCTGGAGGGACCAAGGGATGGAGGGGCACATGCCGGAGACCTGCCCTGAGCATTCCTTGAGGCCCTCGGGTCCTGGAGCTCTTGGGGTGCGTCACCCACTGGCTCTCTGTCAGGCCCCCCGCACTGGCCGCCCGACTGTTTTCTCTCCCTCCCCTCGGCTGCAGCCTACTAGCGGATGCTTGGGGAGGTTGCAATTTTCCACAAGGACCGAGTGGCCTAGACCACTCCCTGTGTCCCACCTCCCCGGCAGGGACACAAGGACGTGGGTCCCCACCAGCCTGAGGCAGGGCCATCCGGGCAAGAATCCCCAGGCTCTCTCTAGGTCTGCGGTCCAGATGGTGGAGCCAAGATCATGCACCCCCACATCCTGGACGGCCCATGGTGGATGGCGGACCCGGATTTCTCTCCGTGTCACATGCTGGGAGGGGGAGCTGAAGCCATTAGCCAGCCCTCCCTCGCTGGGGACCCACCTAGTCAGTCACCTTGTCCCCTGGCTGGGGCCCCCCGACCAGATGCACTCGCCAGGACAAATGCCCGTCCCTGCTGGGCACCCCCAGCCACAGGAGCACTTCAAGTCACGGAGCCCCCCGTCTCCACGTCATGGAAAGTGTCACCAACACCACACAGCTCTGGGGGGGGGTGGTAAAGGGAGACATCTCATGATCAAACTCCCCACTGTGTCAGCCCCAGTAGAGACCTCATCTATTCAGTGCGTTAGGGCACCTGTGCACAGGAAGGAACAAGATGGGGGTTGCTCTAGCCGCCCCCCCGAGCTTCCTCTCATTGCATCCTTGAAATTATCAGTAAGCCTGTGATCCACGAGGGTGGCCGGGCCAGTCGGGCTGTGGGTCCGTTCACACAGGCGAGCTGGTAAACATTCTCGGCCCCGTTCTCGTCAGTTACGGAGGGGAGACAGGGGATGAAGATAAGGATGAAGGATCATTCGGAAGGGAGCTGGTTTCGAGAACAAAGACATGCCTTTGACTCCCCCCACGCCTCCCTCTGTTGCTGCTCACAGCTGATGCTGAGCCCGAGGTTTCCAGCCGAGAGCCTGAGCTGCACAGATGGCTTAGGGAGAGGTTGCCAGGTGCAGAGGCGGGAACGAATGGATTGCCCGCAGTCCTTTAACAGCTCCAGGGCCCGGCCTGGGGGACTCAGCCTAAGCGGTTCACGTTGGGCGAGAGTGTGCCCCCACCCGTGTAGCTGGGCCCTGGTGATGTGCTAACAAGGAAGGGGAACCCCAGCCAACAGTGCTCTAACCCGTCAGAACTTTTGGGTTGACTCAGCATGAAGTCTCAGGGTGCGTGAGTCAAATCATAGCTCAGGGATGTCAGGGCTCTAGTTCTATGGCTTTTCCTCATTAGCACAGAACGGCTGCTCGAAGCACCGCATCGCACTCTCACACCACACATCCAAAGTCAGGCCGCAGGGGCTGGCCAGGGCAGCAAGAGGGAGCTCTTCTTCCAAGGAGGAAAAGTCATTCCCCAGAGCCTCCAAGTAGATGCCCTGCTGCCTCATGAGTCAGAACGAAGTCCTAGAGACTCCCCCGGCTGAAAGAGTGGCCCCCGCTTTTTATAGACTGGAAGTCAGGTAAGAAATAAGGTGGGGAATGAGTAGCAGGTCCCCAGAAAACAGGCCTGGTGCTCCCTGTCAGCGGGGAGAGCCCATCTGCCTGGCGCTGGGGGCCAGAGCAGCTGCACTCCCCAGGACGCTCGAGTTGCCCGCCACAATCTAACAGCCTTGTGCGCTGACACCAAGTGCTGGCACACACACCTCATTCCCTCCTCTGAACCCGCGCCTCCTCAAGGTGGGGTGAGCCCACGTAGGACGAGAGGCCACATGTGGAAATGGGGTACCTCCCTCTCCAAGAGAGGACAATCATTTGCAATTTTTTAAAAAGAACTGAAAGCACGAGTCACATTCATCTCCTTTAATCGTTCAGCCATTTTTGAGTCCAGGGGTGTGTGCCGTCTGTCCAGGAGCCGAGGCGCAGATGCGGAGGGCCCCGAGTGCCTGCCGGTGACGTGGCTGGGCTCCTGGCTGCCGGCTGAGGCCATTGCAGCTCCTGGCGCGTCTACAAGGAGCATTCCTCTGAAGGGTGAGGTGTGAGAAGGAGACACAGGCAGTGAAAACCCCACGGTTTGTTCACTTGTGAATAACTACAGAGATGCCGCTTGGAAGCACCAAGGGGAAAAGTCCCTAGAAAACACTCCCCGCCTTCCTATTTCAACTGCTCTCTCCAATCCCACCCAAGCAGGGATAAAGCGCTACCAGGATCCTTCACGGGCTTGCACTCAGTGATGTGAAGAAACACAGGGACAAATAGGGCTCTTTGCCAAGCGGCCTCCCAGCCTGGTCTTTGTGTCCCCAGCCCGACATCAGCCTGATGCAGGCTGCACCACCTCCCCACGCTCGCCCGCGGCCCCTGGTGCGGGTACAAACACAGCTGGCCGTGCAGACTAGGGCCCCCGCTCCCCTGCGGTTTTCTCCCTAATCCTACACCCTCAGACCCCACAGAGCCTCCCTGGCCATACCATCAGTAGTGTCGTCCACGGCCACAGGGTGGAAGCACCACGGGACTCCACGCACAGTGCTGTCGAAACAGCAGCCTTTGGCTCTACACTGGGAAGGCGTGATACCCGGAATGCCACAGTTGGTTCTGTGGTGGGGGGCCACCACACACGTCTCTGGAGGTGCAGGGGGCAAGGGGGAGGGTAAGTCGCTGGCTGACGTCCGTCTTCCCTCTCCCGTTGAACCAGCAGCCAGCCGGTGCCACGGATAGGGACTTAGGGCTCAGGCTACAAGAGGGACATCCCAGCCCCCTCTCCTGGTAGGAAAACCCTTCAGCTCAGGGCAAATGCAAGGTGCCCAGGATTTGCAAACTTTACACCTACCTACGTAATTTATCCATGCATTCGTCACTTCAACAAACAATCCTTTAGCTTTACTCAGTCAATAAATATCTGTGGACCACCATTTGTGTATGCTAGAAACAGAAATTAGCACGGCAAAAGTAGACAGTGAAGGTCGCTCAAGGACCGAGCTCCTGTTGGGCCCTGTGCCGGGGGATGCACCCAGAAATTAAAAATAGAGAAGTCTTGGTTAAGAAGCTAACAGTCTAATGGAGGAGAAGAGCAAGTGAATGGAGGCCACCATGAGGCCACCTCACTGCACGAAGGCAAGCACAGGAGGGACAAGGACAAGGCAGAGAACAAAGCGAGGAGGGCTTCCTATGGGAGGAGGTTCCCAGGTGGGGATGAAGGACACGATGGGTGTACCCTGCAGAGGGAGCAGGTGTTCAAAGGCAGTCGAGAAAGAGCAAGGTGTATTTTAGGAGGTGTAGTCCGTTTGTAGGAAAGACAGAGGCTGGGGTCGGTGGATGCCTTCAACCTCTCAGCAGCTTTAACCCGGGGCTGGGGGGTGGGGGACGATGGGAGCCAGGACGGTGGAGAACACGCGGGTTGGGGGGAGACACGCTGGGGAGGCAGGGCTGCCGTGTGGTCTACACACGGGAACTGAAGGGGCTGAACCCCGTTAGCCCAGCCGGGCATTGAGAAGGCGAGCCCACGCGGGAGCTGCCCTCCACGGGCTTCTGCGTTCCCCTCCACGGATCGCCTCAAGCTTTCTCTGAAGGAGGGGCCTGTGGCTTCGCGGGAAGGCCTGGCCCATCTCCCACCCACCGGCTGGGGGGCCTCTGCGGGACTTCAGCCTCCCCGCGTCTGGCTCCCCACCAGAGAGGGAAGGCGGCGTCGCCCACCCGCAGGGCAGTTGTGAAGTTGGGAGGAGCTGTGCGTGCGTGTGTGCATGTGTGTGCATGTGTGTGTGTGTGCTCGTGCATGCTCAGACACGGCTCTGTGTCCTGTCCACCTGCCGGAGGAGGAAGCGGCAGCTGGGGTGGGACGGGGCTCCAGGTTTCCGAGCTCTGTCCACCCATTTACCGGCACAGGACGGACCTAGACGGGAACGGTCTCTACCGGGCTGTGCTTGCAGTCGAGTTTCTGGATGCCTTGTGACAGATTGCTAACGCACAGAGAAGGGGTGAGCCTCGGGCCAGAGGACCAAGCAGGGTCGGCCGGGGAGAGGGATCCACAGCCTGGCCTGGGGGCGGCCGCGTGGCCACACTCCCGGCCTCCTCCACGGCAGAGCCGCGTCTTCTCCAGGCCCAAAGCCCGCGTGTCCTTTCCGGCCTTAGCCTGTCCCTGCCTTGGGGGCATTCCAAGTGGCCACCTGGTGCCTCCGTCGTCCCTCTCCCTACACCCCTTTCTTCATCGTTCTCCATCGGGTCCTCGAAAGGTACCCCAAGATGCGCGGAAACCACGGTTCCTCTCCCCCTCCTCAAACCTCTATGGAAATCCTGGTTTTGAAAACCTGGGAAACTACAGCATCTAATGAAAATAAATAATACTCACTGAGCACAGGGTACCTCGCAAAGCGCTCTCTGGAGGCCTTGTCCGACCCCCAAGCCCCTTGAGGCCGACGTCCCGGTCCAGGGGCTGAGACGGTGGCTCAAGGGAGCAGGGCACTCTGTCGGTTGTGGCACCCACGGAACCCACACACCGGGACCGCAGAGCCTGCGGGCGTCCTCGGGGGACGCTCATCCACGGAATGGGCCCTTGGGCATCGGGGTGGCTTTGACCAGAGGGAGGCCGGCGTGGACGTCTGGGGAGCTGTTCTCCCACCACACCTCCGAGACGGCCCTTGAGAGCTGGTGCTCAGGGTGTCAGCGCCGGACACAGCGAGCAGTGATCAGGGTGCCCACGTGCTCACAGCGGTGCTCAGAGCTTCCGTGGCCGTGGCCTGGATGCGGCTCTCCACGGGCCTTCACCCTCCCAAATCCTCCCAGGGCCCAGCATGGCGCTCGGCTCAAACACATGGTCTGTGGTTCAGGCACCACCAGGGGGGCTGATGCGGGAGGGGGGCCGCTTACCGAGCTCGCCCTGGGCCAGGGAGCTGAGGGTCAGCACACACGCCAACACCAAGACGCACATCACCCTGGGCTCCATGGCGGCCGTGACCTTCCTCTCTGCTCCAGGGGAGACCACGAGTCAGGGACGGGACCCTGTGCAGGCCCTGCATTTATGCGCAGGCTCTGTTTGCCTCAGGAGTGTTAGGTAACATTTGCCTAAGGAGGGATCCCCCGGTCCTCCATTCCAGGTACTCTCCGCTGATTAAAACGAGTTCGCTGATAGGGGCAAGTGCCGAGGCACGTAATCATCCTGAATGAAGGACTCGAGGTTCAGAAAGTCCCTCCTGTCCCGTGGGCCTGACCAGATCGCTAACCGCAGCGGAGCTCCTCCTGCAGATGTCAACATTACGCTCATGGAAGGGTGACTCATGGGAGAGCTGGCCCCAGAAGGCACGGTTGTGTCAACAGTGGTTCATGGGGTCGCCCTCCATGGCGGTCGCACTCGGAGCCGATGGGGCCCGCCCACCAGGCTGTCCTGTCAAGGGCGGTGGGCCAGTGGCCTTCGACTATTTGGAGAACCCAGGTCTGGGGGAGGGCCGTGGCCGCACAAGAGGGTCAGGAAAGGAACAGGCTCGCACCCCCTCTCCCCCTTGGTCCCTGGGCCCTCGGACTGCAAACTTCATCTTTTCCGGGAGTTCCGTCTGTCGGGCATTGCCATGGCCACGTCGTAGGTCAGCAAATGTGCCTCACGGGAGAAACGTGGCTCATCCGGAGGGGTTCTCCCTGCAGTTGGCACTGACACTGAAAACTCAAGAATGGGGCGCCTGGGTGGCTCCATCACTTATGCATCTGACTCTTGGTTCCGGCTCGGGTCGTGATCTCGGGGTCGTGGAATCAAGTTCCGCTTTGGGCTCTGCACTCAGCTGGGAGTCTGCTTGAGATTCTCTCTCCCTCTGCTCCTCCCCATCCCCCCCCCCAAAAAAGGGAAAAAAAAGAAAACATGAGAGTGTCCAACATCCTACCTAGAGGAAGTGTGTATTTCAACTTATTTACCTAAATTAATTTGTCTGGTTTTCTCTTTCCCTCTACAGCACAGTCCTTTCAAAAATGAAGCTGTATATGTAAGAGCAACCGTTGAACTGACCGAGCAGAGGTGCTCCTCCCTGCCTCTCCGTTTCAGGCCCCACAGTAAGGCCCCCTCGGCCTTATGCTTCAAGGGTAACCTCGGGCCAGCCCTCCCCTGGCCCCACCAGGTCCAGTTCCGTCTCTGAGCCCTTGCTGTCCCCAGTGCATGGAGTGGCCTCCTGCCACACCACGTGGAGCGTGCCTGTCCCCCAGGAGAGGGGAAGGTCGGTGAGCGCAGGGGGCTTCGTCTGCTCTGTGCCTTCTGGTGGCCCTGCACCTATAGTCGTTCTTACCTTATTCAGTAAACATCTGTTGAGGAATGAATGAATCAACGAATGAATGAATGAGCAACGGGAGAAATATTCTTTCCTCAGCGAACAATGAGGCTCTGAGGAGAATTCGCCTTGGAGAGGTGCTTACTTTTCTAAGTGACCTGGTGAATCAGTCCTGGCAGCCCCTCTGGGAGGGGAGCTCCAGTCAGAACTGGGGGTGCCACATCCTTTGTGCCCTCCACCCTGAGCCCAGCACCCCCCGCCGAGCTGCCCAGTGGGGTCTCCAGAAGAGGCTCGATGTGCAGGACCCGGGGGCGGGGGGTGGGGTTAGGGCACAGAGTCCTCCGTGGAGGTGGGTTCAGTTTGCCAGAAACGGTGTGGGGGGGGGTGCCGGGTCTGCAGTGATGCTCATGATCATGGAAAACCACCCCTAATTTCTCAGAGCGAAAGGGGAGCTCTCAGACACGGAAGTGCAAATTGCACAACAATTTGGAAGAAAAGTGTGTGACTGTCAATGGAGTTGATGCTTCATAGACTTACCATCCAGCAATGCCACTGGCTCTAGGTCTGGTGTGTGTCCCACATAAATCCCCACACTTAAGCAGAGGGAAACAGAGACAAGTATGATCTTTGCAGCATTGCTTGTAATACCTTTAATAAAAAAAAAAAAAAAGGAAGAAAAGAAGAAATGGAGAAGCTGAAAAAAAGGAAGAAAGAGGAAGAAAATAAGGAGGGAAAGTAAGGAGGAAGGAAAGAAGGAAGGAAGGAGGGAAGAAAGGAAGGAAGGAGGGAGGGAAGGAAGGGGGAAGCAGTGTGAATGTTCATAAGTGTGTATGGAGAAGGGAAAGGGGAAAGAGTGTAAGGCACATGTGTGCATCACGACCCTGCAGAACATGGAAATGAATGAATGAATGAATGAATGAATGAATGAATGAATGAATGGAAACGAGTGACTACCGGCAGCGAAGCTGACGGGGAAGCATGGGAAGGGCGCTAGCAGCCCGATGTCGGGTTTGCTGCAGGTTTCCGGTGCGTGGAGCCAGGTGGAGCTATGAGAGCTGCACCCCATGAGCTAAGGTTGCCCGGTGACACGGGGGAGGCTGCTGACCTGCGTGTAATGGGCGCGTCTGGGAAGTGGGGACAGTGACACGGATCAGGGAGGGCACCAAGGGCCACCAACGTGGGCATCATGTTCTATTTCACAGAAGGAACTCTGAAGGAAGTGTGGTGGGGAGGTCAGCATCTATTAGGGAGGAGACTCGGATCCACGGGTGTCTGTCCTGTCGTTCCGTGTGTGTTTGCAGTGACCTCCTGCTCCGTGGGGACTGCTAAGCACCCTTAGTCCAGTGCTTAACCGACGGAGCCACCAGGCGCCCCGGTTGGTTTGTTTTATTTTTTTTTTTTTTAAAGATTTTATTTATTTATTTGAGAGAGAGAATGAGAGACAGAGAGCATGAGAGGGAGGAGGGTCAGAGGGAGAAGCAGACTCACCGCCAAGCAGGGAGCCCGATGCGGGACTCGATCCCGGGACTCCAGGATCACGACCTGAGCCGAAGGCAGTCGCTTAACCAACTGAGCCACCCAGGCACCCGGTTGGTTTGGTTTAAATGGCAGTCTAGTGAAGCAGAAAACATGCTGGGCTGAGGGCTAACCCGCTAATGAGTCAAGTCGTGTGGTGCAAGATTCTGGAAAATGAAGCGCCTGACCCCAAGATGCCCCGATCTAATGCGATGCTCGCCGCTCGGGCCCCCCCACAGCCACGGCGGGACCCCTTGTTGGGGGCCCCTCTCCCCAGGGTCACACCGCGGCTCTGGCTTGGCCTGACGGGTCTCCCGCCCCAGCACCACGCTCCTCAGTACAGGGGTGAGGGTCCGACGCAGGGCTCGTTTCCCCCTCTGCCTTCGCCACCCTCTCTGGGCCCTGTCCACCGCCTCCCGTTCTCTAGCTTCTGGCTGCTATGAGCTGTACTCAGGAGGAGGTGAGCTTGGGGATTTATCTCCCGGGTCCCTCCCTATGGGGTCACCTTACATGGCCGCATCCCTGTGTCCGGCCTTCTGCACACGGCGGTCTTGTCCGGGCCCCCGTGCGGACCCCTCTCTGCGCTCCTCCAGGCTGAAGGGTGCGCTGCCCCCACCGAGAGGCCAACAGTCTCTCCATTTCACCCTCCTGGAGTCACCCAGATTGAGGGAACAGGCCTGCTTCCCGCCAGGCCTCTGAGTGACACAGAAATTGCTACCGTGGTGACCCCGTCACCTCACGCACTGTGGAAATGAGCCCCTGACGTTGGCCCCTCCGGCGTGTCTGCTGGTCGGGAATTGGGCACTGGTGGCCGTGGCAGGAGGCAGTGTCACAGAGTCTCAGCTTGACAGGGAGGTGACATGGAGTGAGGTCATGTGATCAATATCTGGGGTCAGCCCTGCACGGAATGGAAAAGGAGAGGACGGGCGATGGGACGGGGGTACAAAGGCGGGCGCCCTGAGAATGGGCGGCCCAGCTCCCAGAGCCGCAGGGCAGGCTGGGGCTGCCGGGGCGGACGGCCCTCTCCTGGCCGGGCAGCTACAGCTAATCACCGGCCACTCCAGCGCCCTCACACCAAGATCCTGGTAGCCGTGAGCCACGAGACACGCAGCTGGGACGCTCTGGGCAGGAACGTGATGCTGGGAACTTTGAACCCTGAACCAGCCCTGGACCTTCTCCAGCAGGACAGGCGACCCCCGGCCCTCTGTGGGACGGGCAGCTCTCCTGCCCACGAAGCTCCCGCGGACCCCTGACCGAGCACGGCTCACGGAGCGCAGGCAGGGGGCCGCCCTCCTCGGGCCACTCCTGACGGGCTTCCAGGTGCGTCAGGTTAGACCCCTCCCAGCCCAAGCCTGCTGGGAGACAGCCTGTGCCCCGAGGGGCCTGGGGGCGTCGAGAGTGGAGGCAGGCGGTGTAGGCCCTGGAGAATGAAGGACCCAGCTCAAAGGACTGATGCTGTCACACCCACCGAGCGTGCGGGACAGGTGCCCCAACACAAGCACACGGGACACTGTGACCGTCTTGTGGACGGGACGGAGCCCTGCATCTGGCGGTGGCCAACGGCTCATGCAGTGGACATGCCGCAGCGTCCCCATACGTGGCAGCCTCACCACTCAAGGCAGTCTGCTCCCTCACAGACTTCATGAAGTCAAAATGCAGTCTAGAAAGTTCCCAGATGCTTCACGTGCACGGAAGATGTGGGAAGCCCCGTGCTGCAGCAGGGGATGGGGTCTCAGGCTCGAGGAGGCTTTGGCACCGGAGTGGACCTGTCATGCTCACCCTTCTTAGCCACACTGGGAATGGCCGGAGAGTGCTCCCAACACTCGGAGTTCAGAAACGCCTCAGTGCGGGACCCCAGCATCCTTCACGAGCGCCACGGCGCCTCCGCCTCGACAGAAAGGGAGGCCAGGTCCCGTTGGGGAAGGGCCTTACCTCAGGGCCACAGATGCCTATGATGAACCTTCCCCAAGCCTTCCGCAGAATGATCTGAGCCATTTACCGGTGCTATGGGCTCAACTGTGTCCCCCCAAGAGATGTTGAAGTCCTAACCTCCAGTACCCGTGAATGGCACCTTATTTGGAAATAAGACCTTTGCAGAAGGCCAGCTTAAGGTGAGGTCATTAGTGCGGACCCTCGTGCAGTATGACTGGCGTCCGATAAAAGGGGACATTTGGAGATGTAA